AATGTAAGATTGACCAGCAATGAAGTGAATGATTTTTGCTCAATGAGTGAAATGGTTTACTGAATACAGCATTTAAAATGTTAAATATTTGTTGGGTAATTATATATGTGAAAATACTTTAAAAATGCCTGTAAGAATAGGAAGAAAGAGTTACACAATTGTTTTATTTTATTTCTGAAGGTTTTGTGAATGAGCCAATCACATTTGAGGTCAAAGGAGAAGGAAGTGAATGGAGAGCGTAGAAGAAGCGAACAAGCTTCATTTATAATATTTGTTAAGATGTGCGTTGGATGTAGACGCATAGAATAGCTTGCTTAGATTATGAAATGACACATGAAGGCCTGTGTGTATTTATCAAGTCTCAAGTCTCGTTTATTTATATAGTCCTTTCAACTACGACGTAGACCAAAAGACTGGACATCTCTAAAACAAGAAAAAAAAAACTTACAAAGGATAAAAAGAGAGAAAAAGAAAAACACAATGTATAATAAAAAAGTCAAGAATTAAAACAGACAGAGTACAAATAGGTTTTCACTCGACTTTTAAAAACTAAAAAGTCTAATATCGTATAGGGCCAGCGGCTGAAAAGGCTCGATCACCTTTAGTTTTAAGACGAGTCCTTGAAACAAAGATTTTATTTATTATTTTTATTTTTTATTATTTATTTTAAACAAATAGTGTTGTACTATGATTTCTGGTTATGGATGTTATGCGTAATAAAGTAATTGTGGAAATTTCATGGTCTTGTGTTCAGAAACCAAATGAGAAGTGCTGAAGTCAAATAATAAAACGCTACTAACCAGATAACAATATTATTGACATTTATGCATTTAGCAGATGCCTATATTCAGTGTCACAGAGCTAAAAATACAGCAATAGCTCAAACACACACACACTTATGTCTGGTTTACTATCTTAGTGAGGACTCTCCATAGATGTAATGGTTTTTATACTGTACTCAATCCCCTTACACTAACCCGACCCCTAAACCTGCCCATCATAGGAAACATTCTGCATTTTTACATTTAGAAAAATAATAATTGTGTATGATTTACCCATGGGGTCCTCACTTTAGGTCCCCACAGTGACACGAGTCCCCGTGTGCATTCAGGTTTAAGAAGTTCTCTAATTGATGGGTTGTTTAAAAAGACGAATTCAAGTTATTACATTAACAATTTAGTGTTTAGATTATACATACTGTACAAAACCGGGTTGATTTCCATCTCGACCTTCACAAGGACAGTCCTGAAGCAAATCCTCACGGGTGAGTTAGGGAAATGAGTTAACTAGCCAACCAGAACATTCCTGATGACATCATTACCTGTAATTCTACACACATCTTGCATATGAGGACACTGATATCAATATCTGAAGCTCTAATGTTGTAATTTTACTGATTACATTACTTTACATAATAAATAAGGGGGTAATTCCTGGTAGTCTTTTGTACATCATAAAATGTAAAAAATAATCAAGTTTTTAAAAGATTTTTGAAATCATGATAAACTGCATTTGAAAAAAAATATCCTGGCAAAGCTCATTTTATTTACTACATTATTGATACTTCAGTGCCTACATTTTTAATGTCACTGAATTATAAGTGTGTTTTTATGAAATTCTTATTTTTCTCTTAAATGTATTTAAATTCACTTATTTCTGCTTAGTTGAGGCTGTTTGATGTTTGTCGTATCTTTTCTTGACCACGGACCAAAATCTGTGCGCTCTCGCCCCCTATGCATTTTGGGTTTGGACTTTTCTTAAAGCTGAATAACCTTGTAAATGACGACACTGTTTTTGTTATTATCAAAGATAATTAATAAAATATTTCTATTCTAATTAATTCACAACAATGTTGCTTGACATATATGTGACGTTGATAATATAGATGCACCGATATGAAAATATTAACCGATACAATAACTGATAATTCTTTATATTTTAAAGTCGACTAAATACTGGACGATAAATCTAAATTATAATATATTTTGAGAGCCTGATAACAAAAACTAAAGTCTCACCATGTCCCAATCACACAATTATAATTTTTAAATACTCGTTTTATTTATTGCCAATACGACAGACTTGCACTACTTTAATGTTTTGTGCTTTATAAAGTGTTTCCGATCATATTTCACGCAATTTAAAACCATAATGTTGAACAGTGCGCATCTGAAGAGTCTCAGATGAAGGAATTAATTATTACATTTATTATATCGGCCAAATTTTCTTATTTGGCCGATAACGATAACATTAAAACTGAACATATATCGTCCGATACCGATATAGTGGCCGATATATCGAGCATCGCTTTATAGATTAAATAAATAATAACACACTGTATCTGTTTTTCTATTATTTTATTGTGTCTGTATTACAAATGAAGTGCCCAGCATGCACCTACATGTATTTGCATAGGTAAATAACTGCAGAAGAGTCAAAAAAGACGTTCAATTTTGCATGATCTGAAAAAATACTCTGCTAATCACAAAAACATAATGCATTTACCCAAATACAGGTGACCTCAAAACTAACAAAGAGCAAATCTTTAATGCTTTGCATCTCCGAACTCAATGTCATACTAGTGACAAACAACAAAGCAATAACTGCAAGATAATTTGAGAAGTTGAATGAATTTCAGAGACATCTGTAAATGATAGGGTTGGGAATCGTGAGAAATTTTCCAGTTCCGATTCCGGTTCCGCCAAACGATTCCGGTTCCGGTTCCCATTCAATTAAAAATATTAGTAAGAGAAAAATCCACAATCCTTTTTGTGTTTATTTCTTATAGTACATGACAAATTAGTTTAACAGACTGGTAATGTAAACAAACTCAAAATATTATTAAGCAATCTTTGCAAAAAAAAAAAAATTATATATAAAGGAAATTAAAAAATTCTGCATTCTCTATAATAATTTAGACCTCTCCTTTATTGTATCTCCAACAGTGAAGAATACCCTCTCAGAAGAAATAGTATATGCTTTAACACACATATGTGTGTAGAACAGATTATTTTTTAAAACGGTTTGAATGATTGATTCATAAAGACTTTACTTATTTCATTACTGGATAAATCGGCGCTCTAGCAGTTAATAAACAGAACTGCATGCGTCTTGCGGAAGAACATAGTTGCCGGAGCTACTTCTCTCTGTTTATGTCCATGACGAGTCACGCAGGCATTGGGCTACTCCGCAGCAGCTGCGATCCGCCGGCCAGTCTAAAGAAGTCCGAGTATTAACGCTTATTACAGGCTTTACGTAGTGATTCAAGATAAGACAAAAACACGGTTTGAAAAAAAAACATTATGATGCACTCGCTCATTGTATATATTTTGTAAATTCTGAACACAAAAAATATACGGACTGCATCTGTTTTGACCACTACCGTCAATGTTTACTCAAACTATAATCTCACTAATTCTGTAACGGAAATCATTTGAATATGTGAAACAAATAAATATTGAGACTGTGTGATTGTAAAGCAGTTTCATATCGACAACTGCTCTCTCTCTCTCTCTCTCTCAGCGCAAACAGATTTGAATGTAGGCTAGAGAGTGACTCGGCGGTCGGCGCGCGCAGCGTGCCTGTGTCTGTGTGTGACAAATGCAGCGCGTGTGAGAGCAAATCGCAACTTCAGTGGTGAAGTTTTAGTCATTTAGGAATAAGACGGCGTCTTCTACTCCCAGCACTTCGCCCACATGATGATATCGCATCGGCATCAGAACCGTTTTCGGAACCGAAACTTAGGAATTTTGCACGATTCCGGTATTTTTTCAAAAACACAACCGGTTCTGGAAAAGAACCGGTTCTCGGTTCCCAACCCTAGTAAATGATGAAGAAAGTACTTTCTATCTTTCTGAGGCGACTCAGTATGTTTTGCATAGACTTGCGAATCACTTTGTCCTTCATTTACATGCTCCTCAAGGACATTTAAACTGAACAATAAAGCTAGATTACACACCACAAGCCACCCAAGCAATTGCCAAAATTATGCCAAAATTATAGAAGGGAGGTTGTTATATTAGTTATTGAATCATGGCTACTATCACCTGTTCAATGTTTTGATGCCAATTTATGTCTGATATGGCACTGGAGATCAATCTGAGATCTATCTGAGTTCAATCTGAGCTCAATCTGAAATCTATCTGAGATCAATCTGAGAGAGACCTATCTGAGACCTATCTGAGATCAATCTGAGACCTATCTGAGATCAATCTGAGACCTATCTGAGACCTATCTGAGCTCAATCTGAGACCTATCTGAGATCAATCTGAGAACTATCTGAGACCTATCTGAGAACTATCTGAGATCAATCTGAGACCTATCTGAGATCAATCTGAGACCAATCTGAGATCTATCTGAGACCTATCTGAGCTCAATCTGAGATCTGAGACCAATCCGAGAGCGATCTGAGACCTATCTGAGATCAATCTGAGCTCAATCTGAGACTAATCTGAGATCAATATGAGATCTATCTGAGATCAATCTGAGAGAGACCTATCTGAGAACAATCTGAGACCTATCTGAGATCAATCTGAGCTCAATCTGAGACCTATCTGACCTATCTGAGATCAATCTGAGCTCAAACTGAGACCTATCTGAGACCAATCTGAGACCTATCTGAGCTCAATCTGAGATCTATCTGAGACCAATCTGAGACCTATCTGAGATCAATCTGAGACCTATCTAAGACCTATCTGAGCTCAATCTGAGACCTATCTGAGACCGATACTCAGCATGAACTAAATCATGGAACATTGAAATATACAGATGACACTGATATTCTTGTATATTAAACTAGTTTAAATGTGTATCATCTGCTATAAAGTATAGTGATGACTCATATGATCATCAGTGTTTCTAAGACGGTCTAGAGGAGCCTGTAGGAGGAGCCTTAAATTATTCAATGCACACTTTGCATATCTGAGAGTTAAACTCCCTCCTTGATGTAGATAACCCATTAAAAGAAGACAAGATTGAGAAACATCCTGATCCCTCGCTCTCACTACAGGACCGGTGGGCTAAACTTCATCCGTCGAGACTTCATTCAGAAGAGAACTGAGGCCGTATGTATAAACCCACTCAGAGTAAAATTTAGTCTTAAGTCTAAGAATGACATTTACCTTTTATTTCTAGACTAAAGAATAAGTGTGATTCATAAAGGTTCCTAAGTATTGTAACTTGGTCTCATCTCCTAAATTATTTAAGAGTGCTGAAAAAGTCTCCTAAACTAGTGAGGAGTAACACGATAGCAGCAGAGAGGAGAAAATATGATGTATTGGGGTTAAATGATGACGGAGTTGATCAAACAATTAAAAATTTGATCATCATGGTATTCTTTTTATAACTGACCTTTAAGAAATGTTATAGCCATTAAGGAAAGTAATAATTACATTGTTGACGACTGTAAAACTGTAAAAATGTTTAGAACTCTCCAGAATGCTATTTGCGTTCACTTTTGACGGTGTTGCGTTTATCATGTTGGTGTAGTAGCAGCCAAGCGGCTATGCCCTGGGCTCCAGTTCGCTTGGAGATTAAGCCAGTGGTTCCCCGGTTGCTATGTATTGTTTACTTTAAATTAAACTAAGATTGTATGTTTAGTAATTGAACCTGAATGAATTTAAAATTGATGTGCTATATTTCAGAACAATATATTTCTATTATCTATTTAGTTCATTATTCAGCCGCTCTGGTGAAAACAGTGATGTCATCGTCCAGCTCAGTTCAGTTCTCAGACAATGGAGTCAATGCAGACGAAAAATATTGATGAAAAAAGGGCAAACTACAACTACAGGTTTTAAACAGGTTTTTTTTTTTTTTATTTCAGTGGCAAAACTACTGGCAAGATGATGGACCAAATGTGTCTTTCTCTGCTTTCTCTTTCAGGTAAAACATTATGCAAAACATTAAAATAAGGAGAGAAATTAGCCCAATGATTTGCATATTTCTGCCGATTTACATACAGGAATATTACGACAAAGTGTTCTGTGTAATATCCTACAAATCTTTGTGGAGGACAGTTATCAACTGACAATTAAAGACAGCATCTACTAAAGAGAGCCAAAGAAAAAATACTTCTCAAAAATCAAAAAGCTGTCCAAGAGACGTCACTAGCGGCCGATTATTCTGAAACTTAATCAAGAAATAAAATTAAATGAACAACAACAACAAAAAGAAGAGTTAACTTAAAATAATGTAAGTTATGTACACTCACCTACAGGATTATTAGGAACACCTGTTCAATTTCTCATTAATGCAATGATCTAATCAGCCAATCACATGGCAGTGTCTTCAATGCATTTAGGGGTGTGGTCCTGGTCAAGACAATCTCCTGAACTCCAAACTGAATGTCAGAATGGGAAAGAAAGGGGATTTAAGCAATGGTTGTTGGTGTCTGAGTATTTCACAATCTGCTCAGTTACTGGGATTTTCACACACAACCATTTCTAGGGTTTACAAAGAATGGAGTGAAAAGGGAAAAACATCCAGTATGCGATGGCAGTCCTGTGGGCCAAAATGCCTTGTTGATGCGAGAGGTCAGAGGAGAATGGGCCGACTGATTCAAGCTGATAGAAGAGCAACTTTGACTGAAATAACCACTCGTTACAACCGAGGTATGCAGACAACACGCACAACCTTGAGGCGGATGGGCTACAACAGCAGAAGACCCCACCGGGTACCACTCATCTCCACTACAAATAGGAAAAAGAGGCCACAATCTGCAAGAGCTCATCAAAATTGGACAGTTGAAGACTGGAAAAATGTTGCCTGGTCTGATGAGTCTCGATTTCTGTTGAGACATTCAGAATTTGGCGTAAACAGAATGAGAACATGGATCATCATGCCTTGTTCCCACTGTGCAGGCTGCTGGTGGTGGTGTAATGGTGTGGGGGATGTTTTCTTGGCACACTTTAGGCCCCTTAGTGCCAATCGGGCATCGTTTAAATGCCACGGCCTAAAAACCTGAAAAGAGCCATATATGGCTCGCGAGCCATAGGTTCCCGACCCCTGCAATAGAGCATCTTTGGGATGTGGTGGAACGGGAGCTTCGTACCCTGGATTTACATCCCACAAATCTCCATCAACTGCAAGATGCTATCCTATCAATATGGGCTGACACTTCTAAAGAATGCTTTCAGCACCTTGTTGAATCAATGCCACGTAGAATTAAGGCAGTTCTGAAGGCGAAAGGGGGTCAAACACAGTATTAGTGTGTGTTCCTAATAATCCTTTAGGTGAGAGTAGTTTGTGTTATTTTAAATCATTAATAGTTATGATTGTTTGTAAATGAACTTCTTAACCAGAGAACATTAACACAGGAATTGTTGTTTTACATTTTAAATTTCAATTTTAAAATTAAATCCTTATTTAATCTTAGACAAAGTATATTTTAAGTGTGCCGATTATGCCGTTTTAATTTCCTCATACACGACAGCACTGTGATCTTTGCAGAGCTTTAACAATCACAAACAGCTCTATGACATCCTGCATGAAAAGGAATATATCCAGAAAGCATAATAGGAGCACTTTAAATTCAAGATGTCTTATTAAACAATCTCAAATACTTACAACAGAAATACTACAGTGACTGTCATTTCTTAAACGAGCATTAAAAAAAAAAAATCCAGCCAAATAGAAACAAATACACTGAGTCTAGTTTTAAAGGGTTAGTTCACCCAAAAATGAAAATTCTGTCAGTATTTACTCACCCTCATGTTGTTCAACCCCGTAAGACCTTCGTTCATCTTCGCAACACAAATTAAGATATTTAAGATATTAAGATCGCTCCTGTATACTAGTCCATAGGCTTCTTGAGGGAATGACTCTTGCTGGCATCGAAAAGTCATTAAAGACATCGTTAAAATAGTCCAAGTGACTACAGGGGCTCAATTTTAACTTTATCAAACGACGAGAACACTTTTGTGCGCAAAAAAACAACAAAAATAACGACTTTATTTCAACTATTCACTTCCTTCTCCATGGGCCTGTAGTCAGTTAACGTAGTGTGATTGCGTAAAGCTACGTCACACGAAGGCTCACTATTGGCCGACGCTGGTCATGTGTGTGTGATGCGTGTGACGTACAATAACAGAAGCTTACGCTATTAAACTAGTAACCTGACTCGCGCAGAGGGAGAAATAAACCAATAGTTTAAATAAAGTCGTTATTTTTGTTGTTTTTTTGCGCACAAAAGTATTCTCGTCATTTGATAAAGTTAAGATTGAGCCCCTGTAGTCACTTGGACTATTTTAACGATGTCTTTAATTACTTTTCGGGGACAGCAAGAGCCAGTCCCTCAAGAAGCCTATGGACTAGTATGCAGGAGCGATCTTAATATCTTAAATATCTTAATTTGTGTTCCGAAGATGAACGAAGGTCTTACGGGGTTGGAACAACATGAGGGTGAGTAAATACTGACAGAATTTTCATTTTTGGGTGAACTAACCCTTTAAGAAGGACAACGGGGAAAATGATATATACAAAGCTTGAAATGAGTGTATTCTGTCGACAGGACTCCTGTCACTGACTCTGTGTAAACCACACGAGTATATTCTGATCCGACAGAACATGCCGTGGGAAAAAGCTCAAACCTACTGCAGGGAAAACCACATCGACCTGGCCACAGTTCAGACCGATGAAGACTGGGCCACTCTGCAAGAAGTCTCGGATGAAGGAAAGTATCGTTCATTTGCCTGGATTGGACTCTACAATGACGTCAACAGCTGGCGTTGGTCTTATCAAGAGGAGAGTTTAGTGTTTAAGTCCTGGGATCCTGTCCAGCCGGATAACTACGGTGTGGGAGAGGAGTGTGTCGCATTTTATTCCGCTGGATCCTGGTGGGATCGCCACTGTAACGAATTGAGATATTTTGTGTGTAGCAACGGTGAGAAACACTCTTCATTGAAGCGCATTTATTACATACAGTATATATCCATTTATTTATTTAGCGTACGCTTATCCACAGCAACTTTCGAGTTTTGTTTTTGTTATCAGGCTCTCAAAAATGTTATAAAAATTTGGATATTTATTTATCGGCCGTTTTATTGGTAATCGGCTTTCGGGTATGAAGAATGATCAGTTATTGGCCAACACTTTCATATCAGTGTATGCATCCCTAAATTTTATAGTATACTTCAAAAAAAAAAATCTCAACATAGATATAAAACTCAAAATAGGAGATTAAAGGGATAGATCACCCAAAAATACAATTGTTTGTTAATTACTGAACATCATTCAAAGTCAAACAAATGATGCAGGTTTGTATTTGGTGGAAGATTTACAACTTTTTACTTAGAAATTACTAGATTTCACAAATAATTTCAATTAAATTAAACACGACATTTTGAAGTAGAGTAAAAAATAGAGTTTCCCTGAAAACACTTATTTACACCTTTGAACTATGCCTTTATACTCTCATTTTATCCGTGCTGGGTCCATGTAAACTGGAAATATAATTGAAAATTGACTTCTGGGAAAAAATTTGGCTGGTTTAAGAGGTCTACACTCGTTAAAGAAAGTGATTTTAAAAATCAGGTTGTCATGCCTCTTGTGTTGTTTTTCACAGAAAGATCCAACACAACCAAGAATCTGGCTTTAATCAAAACTGCAATGACGTGGCTCGAGGCTCAGAAGTATTGCAGAAAGCATTACACAGACCTGGCCACTGTCAGGAGTCGAGACGACAACAATAAGATCGTCAGCTTGATAGCAGCTACGTGTGATCCCTGGATCGGACTGTACAGGGAGTCGTGGAAGTGGTCAGATCAGGCCAACTTTACTTCCTCAACCCAACTCACTGCTCAGAGACTCATCGGGGGGACTGAAAACTGTGCCGGTGTTTATTATTATAGTACTTCTATTGACGAGACCCCCTGCACTGGACTTTATTACTTCTACTGCAGCACTGGTGAGTCCTTTACCTTCGTTATTTAGTTGTTTTATGACAAAATCTGATTATGACTGTTCATTTAATAAGTGTTTCCAAAACTGGAGGTTAATGTTCAATTTATAAATATGACATACTAATTTAACAACACATTCACATGTTCACAGTTTTGGATGTTGGTGAATGGTCACATGACATGCAGATAAACAACTAAAATATCGAATATTTTTCTTCAGTGTTTCATTGTAAAATCCTTCATTTTAATTTGATATGATTTAATTATATACACCCATCTTAAAAATCAGTTCCAGATTTTAGGTTAGGGGTCTCAGAGTGGTCGGCCACTGATCGCTATCGGCCGATAATGGCTTTGGCGAGTGTCTTCAGTGTCACTAAACAGAATTAGCACGTAAAAAGTCGGTTTGGTCTTAAGTTAACAGCTTGGAGTCGTGTGTCAGTACTGTGTATTGGATCCGTGCAGCTCTTAAAGGTGCCCTAGAATGTGTTGAAATAATATTTTAATTTTATGGGGCTTATTTTAGGGCATTTAAAATGTCCAGATGTGGTTTTACAGGTCCATTTTCAACTCTAGAAATTGGCTCTAGAATGAAATGGACTGTTTTACCTTATTTGAAAGGGTCATGAATAGTAATGAGGAGTTCTGCTCTGATTGGCTGTTTCACGCGGCCTCGTTGTGTTCAAAGACAGTTCCCGTATACAAGACGATATGATCATCTGTTTGGCAGCCTACATCATTTCCCAGCCCGTAGAACCTTTCCGGGAAAGTTGTAACGGTTTGACATTCTGATAATGGACAGTCCCAATATTAAATACACCAATTTTGCTGTCTCTAGCTTATTGCCTCTAGCGCCACCACCTGTCCAAAGTTTCACTCAAATTATGCTAAAAAATTGTGAACCGTAAGACAACATTCTTATTTCAAAATTCATTCTTTTTTCCTCTGATTCCTGAGCTCATGACGATTCGATTACATCATATGGCGTCATTTTCCGTCATAAAAATATGGCCGCTATTTGTCCGATTTTCGCCAAAATTGCACCAGATCATCTCCAGTGCCGACAAAAAGTTCATCAAGTTGTTCATTCGTCAAACCTTTTTTGATAAACGCACAAACTAATTTTACATAGCGCTTGCGAAAACAGACGAAAGGCTGTATCTCTGCAACGCATAATTGTTCAGACCAAACTTGAAATATGTCATCACAAACATGAAAATTCATCAAAGTGGTCTTGTTAGATTCAGGGCGTCATGCCGAGTCGACTGATATCCAATTTTCCCAGATCGGCCATTTTGGCTGTGTCAGCCATTTTGAATTATGTGCTAAAATGGTGTATTTTTTTAATTGTTACGAAACTCGTAATGGGTCATCAGTACGATGCCCTGAAGGAGCCTGAGAAATTTTCAAACAGCTCCACTTAGTGGTAAAATTAAATTAAATGCTTATAACTCTGGCTGTGGTTGACTTATTTTAACGGGAGTCATATCATTAGACTCCCGAATCCTTGCCGAGTCCAACGATACCAGACATGCCAGATTCCGACATATGGTTTGTGCAGCGTTGTAATTTAGTGCTTAAAAAACATTTGCGAATTTCTTCGAAAACCGCTAGCCCGATCGAGATCGAACTGAATCAAAGTCACGTGTCATTTTTGATGTGTTTTCTCACATAAATGTCTATAACTCTGAATGGAATAGGAATATTTTCACCAAAACTGACACACAGATGTATGGGCTCACTCTGAGGACACATACAAAAAAAATATGGGACTGAGCCTCTTGGTGGCGCTATAATAGAACAAAACATAAAATTCCCATTGACTTTAATACCGTATTGTGATGTAAAATGCTATGCTTAATGAATGCATTGCTGTAACATTCCGAAGCAGCATGCCCCGAAGGTAATCAATACATTGAGACAGCGCCACCTGTTGGTCAAAAGTTATAATTTAATTTCCAAAAATGCTAATAACTTTAAAAAAAAAAAAAATCTGCCTATTGTAATGACACTGATCTTAAGAGATTCCTTGGGTTATTGCGAAAACATAGATACCAGGTTTGCCATAATCTGCCAAACTTCCTGTCCGCCATCTGTATTTTCTTTTCAAAACCTTCTTTTTCGAACAAAACCGTTTTTGTATAACAGCAAAGTTGAGGCATTCGGCCTTTATCTCTGGAATGCTTTCACATTTTGACACCAAACTTTCTATGTCATTGTCACCTCACTATGATCACAACGCATTGATTTCATAACTGCGCCACCTGTTGGTCAAAAGTGCTAAACCATTAAGTCATCTTATAAGTTACTGTTTATATAATTTAAGCAATTTTGCCTAAAGTCATCTTTAAATGTCTTTAATTGCTCCTTGCTGCAGTTGGTCAAGTAATTAAATTAAATTAAATGTCTTTATTAGCCTATTTCTTCCCTAAATACTAATGTTAGACCTTCCTGAAAAAAAAACACGTACAGCGCTGTTTAATTTTTTTCTTATCTTCATTCAATTTTATGATTTTTTTTTTAAATGTCTAAAAAATGAGTGTGCTTGTCCTGCAGTGAAGAGAAAGCAGCAGCTGATCCGAGTGCAGGTCAAAGCCAGTGAGAACGCGAACGACGCTTCATTGAGTGCACTCGTCTTAAACAAGGTGGGTTTATAATACTGACTAACATTAACCCGCTGGTGCTCTTCAGTCATACGTTCAGAAACAATCTTCCTAACATTGTCCGGCAAGCAGACACACTCTGTCAGTTCAAATCTAGATTAAAACACATCTCTTTGACCTAGCGTACACATAACACACTATAGACTTCTATAATTCAATGTTAGGCTGCATAGATTAGATTAGCCGGAACCGGGAACACGTCCCCTAAATCCTGATTTACTCGTTACATCATTAGAAGCTAATATTAGTCTTAGTTTATCCCGAGGTTTACCACAGTCAGGATAGGATAATTCCGGTTCACGTAGCTACGCCAAAGCAATAAAATTCTGTATTTTAAATTTTACGGCCAGACAAGTAGTTTGTTGAGGGTTGGATTTTTAGGGAAGGACTACATGCCTGCGCACATATATATTCACACACACATACCTATAGAATGAACTCTTAATATTTAAAGAGAACTTAAGAGTTTTCTGTTAAAGTTACTAAATAACTAATGATCGTTGCGTAATGACAAACTAGCTTTGTGTTTTTTGTTGTTTTTTTCGCTTAACCAGTTTCGGCAAGATTTGTAAAGTGTAAGAAGATCATTTTGAGGAGAAATACATCAAACTTGTTTAATGAAAGCCTGTTTTTGTGGTTTAGATACAGCAGATGTTGAGCGATCAGGACGTCACACTTAAATGGAGGAAACAACCGAACGGGAAAATCTTCCAGAAGAAGAAGACCATACGGAAACCCAGTAATGCCAGTTCACCAGTTTGCCCAAGTCGCGTTCTCCCACTGAAGTGACACTTATCTCAACCAATGTCTGAGTTAAACTAGATGAATTACAACTTACATTTAATTAGTCAAAAATACATTTACATCTATTAATTTAGCATTTATTCATGTAGCAGACAGATATGAGCTGACAAATGTAAACACTGAAAACTTCTCATGAAGAATAAATAAAGGCCTTTGGGACGATATATAAAAACCGCGTCAGATCTTCTCACAATAACATGAACAGAAAGCACAACTGAATTAAAACCACTTAAGCTGAAGGCTGTTGGTTTGGAGCCACGTTTACCGACCATTTCAGATTGTTTTTTAAACGAACAAGTGTGGATATAGTGCCCTCTAGTGTACGCAGCCTGACCACGAATATTTACTGTTTTAAAGTCCCCCTATGTTAAAAAAAATCCAGCTTTTAATGTTGATAATATGTCTGTGTGGTGTTTTAATATGTTTTATGAGCAAATTCATGTCAACAACATTGCCATGGTGTATTTTCTCCTTAAAACTGCAGTGCTTCAAACACACAGTTTAAAATCGCTGGTGTTTCTGACGTCACAAACGACCAATCAGATCAACGTGTGATCGTCAACAAGTGGATCTCTGAGCTGAGTGAGTGAGTCATTTGCATATTCATAGAAAAACTCATACTAAATGAGGCAAGGGTGTGCAGTTACATACAGCTATTTAAAGGCATGAAAGAAAAAACATTTAAATATGTAAATTTGGTGATCAAAGATGAGTTTTAAGGGATGAAATCATTGACTACAGGGGGACTTTAAAAGATAATTTCAACTTTTAATATCACAATTGTGAGTTTACATCTCACATCTGACTTTTTAATAATTATTTTGATTACCTTTTTATTATTCATTCTGTGGTGGAAACAAGCTTTTTATAATTAACAGCAACTTTAATGAAGTCAGATTTATTATATTAAAACACATCATCTGATTTTCGTTCCCAATGTTCCCCATTTTATCTTAAAATATGTATTTCTTCATATGAAACATGGGGAAATAACATGGGTTTTACTTTATTTTGATTGTCCACTTTAGATATTTAGATACTCTGATTAGAGTAGCCTATTAGTAGACTGGGTTAGTAGAAAAAGTTGACTTGTATTGCGAGGAAATGAGGAATAAAGGTGAGTGAAAAAGATTTTGCACTCTTTGTATTTTATTTCAATTAGGATCAATCACAAATAAGTAAATAAAGAAAAACACTGTCATCACTTTGCTATTATTTTCTTCTATCCAACTATATGAATTGAAATCACTGAATCTAACAGATTTGACTCGGTTGAAGAGAGTTCAGGAATCAAATGTTTCAGTTCAACGAGTCGTGTGACACTCTTTCGGTCAGGTCTAGTTAGTCTCAGAACAAAGTATCTCCTTTCCAAAGGCAAAAATCGAAAAAATCGTTTTTCACATCCAAAAACAAGGAAAATCTGAACTGTCCTACCATTCGATGGCTTCAAAGTACAGATCGAAGTGGAAATGGTCCGAGGGCGGCTAGCTCGCATTTTGTGTACATGTCGTTCAACCAAAAGATTCCCCTCAGGAGATTATATGGCACAAAAACTGGAATTACAAACAAAACACACAAAAACAGCCTTGAAAAAAGACAAGGCAATGGGACAAGTATTTTTCGTAACTATCATGTCAAACAACTTCATTAGACTCGTCAACTCTTATAAATTGCTCTCACTTCATGACACAATTAGCATTTCTTTTTCCTTTTTCACATGTGCCGTGGTATCTTTAGCCCACGTGCTATTCAAATTACACGAGGCCTGTTCTACTAGCTTCAGAGATTTTGCCATGTATGAAATGGATTAATAGTTGAATTTTCACTCACCAAAGCGAATCCGTTTCAAAGATAACATATTGACAATCCATCTGCTCTCCTTCGATCTTCAATTCACTCTTTTCTCTGTTTGAATTTTCAGGCTAATGTATTTAAAGTCCAACTTTTCAGATGCACTGAGCTCTGTAAAAGATTATTTTTTTAACGCAAAGAGTTTCTGAAGAAATTCTATGTCGCCATTTAGTCTGTTCTCATCTCACTGCTGGAAAACAGCGCCCGCGCGACTGTGGGTGGGCTTCTTCAATACTATTGGCTCACAGAGGTGTCAGTCACTACAGCACGATGTGTGATTGGATACATGTCTTTTCCATCCAGAACTCTTTTTCCTTTAACCCTTTACTGGTAACTAATGTTATCTGGGTTACAAAGGGAAAGAAAAAGTAAGAAAAGAACAAAGAAAATGTTAAAAAAAGAAAAGAAAGAAAAAGAAAAAGTTATAGACCCCTTTTGCGCCAACGTCACAGTTACGTCACGGCGCTAGCTGGAGGCAAAACAAAGTGAAAACTGGAGGCGGCCAATGCAAACCAGCACAGATTTGGCTACATAATAAGGAGCTTAAATTACTTTTATTATTTTTAAATGTCATCTTATTGTGTTGTTTGGTCAGCGCAGTCTCACCCCAAAAAGTCATATAACTGACGTTTAGGGACGTCTTTTGACCATACGTCAATATTCGCCTTTTTAGGGCCTCCTTAAACGTGGGTAGATGAGGTTATGGGATCCTAACTCTACCCCAGACCTAAACCTAACCCGTCACCTAACTGACGTTAAAGGTAAAGCGTCAGTTGTATGACGGCCCGGGATCGCCATCTACCGACGTTTAAGGGGGCCCTAAAAAGGCGAATATTGACGTATGGTCAAAAGACGTCCCAAAACGTCAGTTATATGACTTTTTGGGATGAGAATGTGTTGGTTTGGTGCAAGTATCAATGAAAAATGAATATGCTGTATCTGGATTTTTTATTTCTAGAAAATTTTCGCATGATTAAAATCGCACTCTTTACATTGTCGTCTTCTCTGCGCTGGCTCGGCAGAACTGCGGATCGTACACACAAGTCTTGTACAGGTCCATTCAGCACATAGTTATAGGCATCTAAAGATTTATATGCCATCAGTTTCTCTTTACGATCGGTTTCTCTATAAGGTAGGTGTAGAAGTCAGGCCACTCACCCGAGGTAACGTAACGTTAATCCTGTCAGATCGTCCATGCGTTGAGTGAGCGTGTAGGCGGCTACAAGTCGGCTAATCTGGTTCTGCCCGTTAAAAATAACTTTTGGAAATAACAATCCCGATCCTGGACAGTGAGTGACCTTACACATTAAGATAAAATCTGATTTTCTTCAGTCATTGTTAAAAAACAAGCTAACAATACTTGCTAACTAGCGTTAGTGAAGCGGCCAGAGGGATCCCAGATAGCAAACTGACATTGAATCAGCGTGGAAACAACGTTGATCTGACATTGTTTTGCTCATCGAATTAACATTGAACCAACGTCAGACGCGTCATTCTTTCAAAACTAACGGAAAATCAACTTGAAATCAACGTTGTTTCAACGTTATGAAAGCAAACCAATTTTCGATTTTTATTTAGCTTTGAAGAATGCCGCGTCTGACGTTGGTTCAACGTTAATTCGATGAGCAAAATCAACGTTGTTTCGATGTCACGAGAGACGTCGTTTCCACGTTAATTCAACGTCAGTTTGCTGTCTGGGATCGTTCTGCCTCCCCCTAAGCTCCGCCCACATAAAAACGTCACCATGTTTACCAACTGAAAAGGGGTCTATACTCTGTCCACTTATGAGTTCACGGGTCCAAAAAGTTCAGGTATGTGCACAAAAGAAAGTCTATGAATCCCTTTGCAGGAAAATTCACTAATCTGCCGATTGAAGAGTCCAGTTCTGAACTCTCATTATACTTTCCCACCGAGGCAGAGCTAGTGTTGATTTGGAGCCCAATATTACGTGTCTGCATTTTCAGGACCCCACTTCTAGTTTTGGAGGACCGAAAAAAGTGCCACCAAGGCAATATTTCCACCCAGTTATAACTACATTAGAGTTTTTTTTCTCAAGTTTTATTGTGCATTTGTTTGTGTGTGTGAGAGTGTTTATAAGTGAGTGTGTGTGTAGGAATGTTGGGAAGCCTGATGGGAAGGCATATGGTCTCCTCATGAGGGACTTTTCGTCCAGATGGCGTGTGTGTGTGTGTTGTGGTAATAAAGTCACATGCAGTATCTCACAACACACAGAAATGCCAAATAATCTCAAGTAACTGCACACAATCAGACTCAGTCGAGTCGAGATCAGATTAGTCAGACTCACAGTTAGCATTAGATTAGGACACTGAAACACAGGAGTGTATCAGGAGAAGCTGAAACACACCTCATCACACTGAAACACAGGAGTGTGTCTGGTCCTCCAGGATGGTTGTGTCGCGGGTCTCGCTGCTCGCTGGGCTCCTGTGTGTGACGGGCTTCGGGGTCCGGGGCCAGAACGACACCGAGCCGCTCGTGCTGGAGGGAAAGTGTTTGGTGGTGTGCGACTCCACTCCCACCTCGGAGCCGGCCGGGAATCCTCTGGGAATGTCGGTGCGTTCGGGAAGCGGACGGGTCGCCTTCTCCGCCGTCAGGAACAACAACCACGAGCCGTCGGAGATGAGCAACCGCACCATGACCATATACTTCGACCAGGTAGGATGAACGTGAGCTTGATGCTGTAGCCGTTTTATCAGCAGTGCGTGATGAAGCAATGTGTGTGTGTCCCGTCGAAGGTTCTGGTGAACATCGGGAGTCATTTCGATCCGGCACGGAGTGTTTTCCTGGCTCCGAGAAAAGGAGTGTACAGCTTCAGTTTCAACGTGGTCAAAGTCTACAACAGACAAACTATACAGGTGATCATTCAACATCGAACTACATACTTCTACGGCCAGTGTTCTGACAATTTTTGCTGCCTTGTCGAAAAATGCTACCGTAGCGCGAATTGATCACAGAATGCCGATTAAAGTCGTATGAAATACAATTATAATACAATTCTAAGTTATGAGTAGCTACTGTATACTACTGTTTTTATTTTTAAAACGGTGTGAAAAGTAAAAATTATCATAAAATATTCATCTTTGACTTGTCAAAGCACCTTTCCTCATAGTAACTGAAACTTTCAGTTATTCCTTTTCAGCTGGCTAACCGTACAAATATTCATATGATAGTAAGCATTTTTTAAAGGGAAATTATACATTATAACAGGAAAATGTACCTTTTGTAAAAAAAAAAAATAAAAAAAAAAAAAAACGGAGTCTGCACATGCGCATAACCGGTTGCTATAGCAAATCTCGATGGGTACCATGAATTGTCAGAACACCTGTTTACACAATACAGACCGTTTCAAAGTGATAAATAAGAAAATAACAGTGTAATTCCAGAAGTTACTTTGGACGCATCTAATTCACGTGCTATGGAATGTAGGATATTTTCCACTTGTGAACTGGTATTTACCAATGTGTTGCGTTCAAGTGCTTTTGTTGTCGTAATGTGGTAAAAAGATGGAGATCCAGACCTGTATTTAGCTAAAACTATTTTAGATTGCTTAAGTCATCTGCTACAGCAAGAAAATGATTTATCAAAACAAAAGGTAAATAATATGCTATATATTTTATAGATCATGAATAATATATATATTTTACCATTCACGACTTTCGCGGTGCTCTCCGCCATTTTGAAAAGTTCAAAGGTTATCTCATCTCGGCAACTCGTCCATCAAAATATTCTACGAGTTGCCCAGTGGAAAATACCACATGAGGGGGTGTGTTCATGTGCATTTTCCACGTCGGCTTTTGGTATTTACCATAATTACCATAGCACATGAACGCAGCATTTTGACCAGCAATTCCATGCTTTGAAATGATGTGTGTTGTGGAAAGCGCGATTGGTTACAAATAACGTGAATTGAAAAGACAGCTTTTACTTTTTTAGATATTTCGATATGCTAGCCTATAGAAATGTAGTAAATTTGACCATTTTTGAAGAGTATATTGCAAATTATTGAGTTTTGGAAGTGTTTAAGTGGGGGGAAATGTCGTCACTGGACATATTTCGTGTCAAAGCAATGATAAATGACAGATTAGCTCACATAGACTGATGTTGTGACCACCGTGTGTAGACTGAAAGAGTAATCATATTGAGAAATGTGTCCTAGCGATTGTCCTAGTATCACTAAGAGTCCGTTGTCCGCCAGGTGAGTCTGGTGCTGAACGGCTGGCCGGTGTTCTCCGCGTTCGCCGGCGATCAGGACGTGACGCGCGAGGCGGCGACCAACGCCGGTCTGGTGAACATGGAGAGAGGAGACAAAGCCTCGCTCAAACTGGAGAGAGGAAACCTGATGGGCGGATGGAAGTACTCCACCTTCTCGGGGTTCCTCGTGTTCCCCCTGTAGAAACAGAAGTGTGTGTGTGTGTGTGGAAAACAGAGACATTGAGCGAAGGAACACATTCAGCTCACCGTTCACAAGCTCATCTGCAACTTTTCTTTATGAGTGAACCTGCTTCTTCATTTCAGAATTCAAATTTCCTGATCATTTATTCACCACCGTGTTTTCCTCAAAAACATTAATTTCTTTTTAAGGCGTGCACTGTAAAAAATAAAACCATAATTTTTACGGTAAAAAACCCAGTAGCTGTGGTTGCCAAAACTTTACTGTTAAAAATACGGTAGGAAAGTTTATGGTTATACAGACTTAACTTTAACTTTAAATTTACAGTAATAAACCATATTTCATTTTCTGATAAAGTGTTGATTCACCAACCCTAATGTACAATAACTGATTAGAAAAAAAAAAACAAGAAAACGATGAGGATCTTTCTGTTAACCAATTAACTGTTTTGCATTGTAGCATTTTTAAAGGTCTTTTACAATTAAAACCACGATTATATTTTACAATGATACTGTACATTCTTACATATATCCCCTTTAACACGTCACAATGCACTTTTAGGGAACAAAATGGGATTCAAAACTGCTTGTTTTTCATGAATGTGCTGATCTTCAACCTCAGGACATCAAGCTCAATATGACACAAGCTCTTCGGATGTCATTTTGCATGTGGTTTGTATCCTAAAAAATTAGGATACATGATTTCTGTTGTTACAATTAAAGACTTAAATACAAAATGTCTCATTTTAAAAATAAATAAATAAATAAAAAACACTTGGTTGGGAAGTGAACAATGACACAAAAAATGTCTATGAAATACTATGTTTTTGGTAATAAAATTACAAATATTTTAAATATCAGGACTGTATCAGTGATTCACCAAAAGTCACCAATTTAAGAAAGGCATGCAGACATTTTGTGTTTAAAAGAAGTCTTTACAACCGTACAATAAAATGTTTATGTCTTGAAGCATGAAAGATTGGAACTTCCTTTGTTTTTGAAATAGGTTTAAATATTGATAATTGGTAACTATAAAAAGAATTTTTGATGATATTTTAATGCATATTAATGGCAAAACCATTGTATTGTCATGCACTTGTACTGAAAAGAAAACATCCAAAATACACATTTAAGTGTTTATTTTATAAACACGCGTCTGTTAATTAAAATACATATTTTTGGCAAATTTCACAAAATAATTTTTTTTTCTTCACTTCAGTAAAACTTATAAACACCAAAACTTACAGTTTTATTCCTGTTTCTGAAGGTTTTTACTGAAGCGTTTGTTCATATTTCATTCAACCTGATTTATGCAACATGTTATGCCTAAAAACAGAAATAGAAAATCGAAAAACCTGTAAAAACTGTAATACGTCAACAAAACCAAACGAGTTTGAACCTATCTTTATCCAATTAATACGATTATGTTCTAATGTATGCAAATTTTTGCATATTTAATTAAAAGGTTTCATTTGCATATTTATACTGGCCCCTAACATGGTTAAATAATCTGTCTATGAAGAATAGTGCTCATGTACAGTGATGAATCAGCCTGGTTACGTTTGTCCTGTAAGTCTGGCCTCACACCGCCTGTGAAGGTCAGAGAGTAAACGGACACAAGCGTCCACAGACTCGATTTATCATCATTATCTGCCATCTGTTGTTGACCAGAGCCAGAGAACAGCCGTCTCCGGCCCGACAACACACACTCGCTCTCCCTTCATCCATACTAAAAGGCAGTGTGTTAGATTAGGCATGCACAGAAAACATAACTGTTTTATAGATATATAATGGTAACAATTTACAGAAAAGTTCATTAGTTAACATGAACTAAGAGTGAGCAATACTTCTGCAGCATTAAAAAAAAACTAAGTTAATATTAATTTGAACATTTACTAAAACATTATTAAAATCAAAAATAATGCACTGGGGAACTAACATGAACAAACAGCTGTATTTTTAGATTAATAAATATTGTAACAAATGTATTGCTCGTAATTAATAGAATAATTAATGTTCACTATAATGCACCTTATTGTAAAGTGTAACCGATGTAATTGAGAAAGGCAGGAATAGTCCCGCAGTGTTGTGTCCAGAACTGCAGGAGGACGCTCGGGATCCGGGCGCACAGATGGGACACGGGATCGGGAAGCTTCTGATGCCAGGATCCCGCTGACCAAACCACACGACCTCCTCGTCACACGACGGAGCAGAAAGCACAGGACACGTCCAACACAGCTTGGGGAACAGTTATAGCCACAAACACACACGCAAAAACATGACATAAAGAGTCGAAATGATGACACACTAAGTAAAAAAAATTGATAATAAATTTTTTATGGATGGTCTTATTTTTCGGAGGGACGACGCGAAGACAACTATAATAGGAAAATAATAATACACATTACAAACAGTTTTATGGGTGAAAATGAAATAAACTGTTCGAATTTAAATAGGAGCGAAAAGGGAAATATATATTTTGAATATGTGCTTCTGTATGTTAATAAAGGACTACTCAGAGTTGTACCTTATAAAGGAATTACTGTCCTGAGGCTGATCTCGAGGCGGCCCAGAACAGGGTCAGTATAAAGGCCGGAGAGAGGGGTGTTCGGGGCCGCAATTCGGGTGAAGACTTAGGCCTGTTAGGCTATTCTGATTCGTAATACTTTTTAAACAAGTCTAAGAGTAATTTTTCCCTATCAATATTTCATGATTTTTTTTTTTTAATTGTATTAATATAAAGTATTACTGGCACCCGCATCCAGGGTTGAAGCACCGGATCGACATCCGTGACCTACAGGTTGGTAGCCTACGCCAATATATCTGATTGCAGTGGATTATGGGAATGTTTTAGGAGGATCTGCTTCTGCAGTGGGATAGAAATAAGCTACAACAGTAGCCTAGCTTGTTTCCGCCATGAAAAATGAAGATGAAAAAATCTAATCTCACAATTGCGAGTTTGTCGCAAATGCGAGTTATAGCTAAAGAAAAAATTACGTGATGTAGCCTACTGTAAAGTCGCAATTGCGAGATATAAACTCAGATTTGTGAGTAGCCTAATATACTATTTAATCAAAGATAGGAAAAGTCTTTTGTGAGTGTGTTACAGTTTAGTGGCATTTAGTCTTCATGAATCTGATATGAATCCCAAATTCCCAATCCCAATCTCACCCCAAAAAGTCATAGGCTACAACTGACGTCGACGTCTTTTGACCATACGTCAATATTCGCCTTTTTATATTTTTTTAAATATAAACCTAAAATTTTAAACACAACTTATTCAGATTTTTGGCTCTCATTTTTTTTTTCAGTTTTAGAGTCGCCCAGTTTTGAACATAGACATTTTTAAAAAAAAATATGAATAATAGGGTGATATCAGGTAAAATGGGCCATCAGGTAAAATGGGCCATTTAAGGTTTGGGGGTCCCAGCTGCTCTGGAATTTAGAGCCAATGACTGCAAAGGATTTCAAACTGTTGTCATAACTGTGCTTGACAAATAACAGGCGATAAGATTGGTTTATGGTTGCTATGGTGGGCGGGGGAATAATTCAAATCGAGACTACACCAGAAAGCTGCATGGTAAGTAGCCTGGCATACCAAATTGCACTGAACTATTATAAGGATGATACATCAATAAAAAAACAGACATGCTCATAAAAAAACTATGCATACTGTCTGTCTCGATGGCATTAATCAGAAATAATGTTGTTAGTTTGGTATATAAACATATTTTTTGTAAAAGTGATGTTTTTCTTGGCGGCCCAATTTACCTTAACCCACTAAGGTAAAATGGGCAACATGGTTTCAGCTAAAATGGGCCATCATCTTTGACACACACACACACACACACACACACACACACACACACAAATAGACTCAGACACACAGACTGACACACAGACACAGAGACTCAGACACAGACTCAATTTCAATTTTCAAATTGAAATCAGACTGAGACTCAGACACAGAGACTCAGACACAGAGACTCAGACACACAGACTGAGACACACAGACTCAGACACACAAACTGAGACACACAGACTCAGACACACAGACTCAGACACAGGAACTCAGACTCAGACACACCGACTCAGACACACAGATTTAGACACAGACACACAGACTCAGACACAGACGCACAGACTCGGACACACAGACTCGGACACATAGAGACTCGGACACAGACTCAGACACACAGACTCGGACACATAGAGACTCGGACACAGACTCAGACACACAGACTCGGACACATAGAGACTCGGACACAGACTCAGACACACAGACTCAGACACACAGACTCGGACACACAGACTCAGACACAGACACACAGACTCGGACACACAGACTCGGACACATAGAGACTCGGACACAGACTCAGACACACAGACTCAGACACATAGAGACTCGGACACAGACTCAGACACACAGACTCGGACACACAGACTCGGACACATAGAGACTCGGACACAGACTCAGACACACAGACTCGGACACATAGAGACTCGGACACAGACTCAGACACACAGACTCGGACACACAGACTCGGACACATAGAGACTCGGACACAGACTCAGACACACAGACTCAGACACACAGACTCGGACACATAGAGACTCGGACACAGACTCAGACACACAGACTCAGACACACAGACTCAGACACACAGACTCGGACACATAGAGACTCGGACACAGACGTCAGACACACAGACTCGGACACATAGAGACTCGGACACAGACTCAGACACACAGACTCGGACACACAGACTCGGACACATAGAGACTCGGACACAGACTCAGACACACAGACTCAGACACATAGAGACTCGGACACAGACTCAGACACACCGACTCAGACACACCGACTCAGACACACCGACTCAGACACACCGACTCAGACACACCGACTCAGACACACCGACTCAGACACAGACACTCAGACACAGACACACAGACTCAGACACACAGACTCAGACACACAGACTCAGACACATAGAGACTCGGACACAGACTCAGACACACAGACTCGGACACACAGACTCAGACACATAGAGACTCGGACACAGACTCAGACACACAGACTCGGACACACAGACTCAGACACATAGAGACTCGGACACAGACTCAGACACACCGACTCAGACACACCGACTCAGACACACCGACTCAGACACACCGACTCAGACACACCGACTCAGACACACCGACTCAGACACACCGACTCAGACACACCGACTCAGACACACCGACTCAGACACAGACACTCAGACACAGACACACAGACTCAGACACACAGACTCAGACACACAGACTCAGACACATAGAGACTCGGACACAGACTCAGACACACCGACTCAGACACACCGACTTAGACACAGACACACAGACTCAGACACAGACACACAGACTCAGACACACAGACTCAGACACGCACGCACACACTGACAGACACACACACACACACACACACACATTTTTGTTTTTAAATGGCACATATGAACTATGTTTGTTTAATTTGGCTGTATAAGAAATTGTGTTTAAATATAATTGATGATAAATTGCTATTTCCCTTTGCAATTTGACTGGCCCATTTTACCTGAACAGCTGGCCCATTTTACCTGAAACGGCTCATGCAAAAAAACTCGGCACTTCTGATGTTTCAAGAACTGTAGGGCCTAAATAATTTTATTTTATTACAAAATTTCAACACAGATGTATCAAAAACAGTCATAATTAATCATAAAAACACATGGATACTGCATATATGGTATTGTATTATTGTCCCAAACGATTTACCAAAAAGTGGCCCAATTTAGCTGATATCACCCTATATATTTTTTATATTGTACATTTTCATGAACTCAAACTTTCATAACTTTTTTTCTGTTTCACTTTCTTAATTTGTTTCACTTCTATAAAAATCTGCCAAATGTCTTCTTTAAACCAATCTTACGTCAATATTCCAAAGCATTCTTGA